TAGTCACAAAGTATGTATTTATTCATACATCTCTCTTAGTCCTCTTTCACTCCTTAAATCCATTTTCAAACAACATAGACAATATCTTTACTCTTCCTCTACCTTAAATACAATCCGTATTTAGATTTAAACTCACAATGGAAAGGGAATGGACATACATAAATAAACATACGTGAAAAACTGTCGTTCCAGTCAGAAAAAGAAAAAGATTATGTCACGTAATGTTAAATGAGTAATGTAACATTAAATTTAAAAAGTTCTTTTCGCAATCACTACAACTTTAATCTCCGTTCACTTAGCAGTAACTTAACTCAATCACTTATTGTCTTTATTGTGTCGGCTCACTTAAAACACGAGTCAAAAATCAATCATAACATTTCTTTGTGCTCCAATGCCTTGTCAAAAACACGATCATTATCCCTTTGTAACATACGAGCGTAAGTTATTAAGTTAAAAACCATTTGTCCAACTCCAAGTTAATCATTAATAAGGAACCATTCACTTCGAACATACAGTAATCGTATGACACGATATATTTTTGACCTAAACTAGAACTGCGTTCATCTCCGCAATCGTCATATCATTTTGCAAACTATTTTATACTAGCTTTCGCCCGCGACTCCCTCCGCGTGAAATTAAAAAAAGCAATAATGAGTAGCCTATGTGTTCTTCCAGATTATCCTCTAAATCTATACCAAATTTTACCGAAATCCTTTCAGCTGTTTAGGCTACAAACTCTAACAAACATCCATCCATCTATCCAAACTTTCGCATTTACGATATTAGTATGAATATGATATTTTGGACCCATGTTATGCAGGAATAAATGAAAATGATCTAAACGGGAATCGCATAAAGTTTTTCTAAATTCCATTTGTAACTAGTGGTGCCATCTAGTTTACTTAACATAAAATACTATATCCCGCAACTCGGTAAGTTCATTTAATAAAAAGTTTATAGTTTTTTAGCAACTTCAATTGTTAATAATTTGCAAATACAAAAAATGTTGACGTCGCCGTATTTCTAACACTTTTAGCAGCTACTGTAAATGGTCCGTGTAATACTGACTACTTACGGCCGTGTACGTCGACCTTTAAATAACATAGAATAAATCTTTGATTCATTCTATCAAGTATTTCGTTAGACATGTGTAAGAAAGGAAAACTACGCATCTTTGAATACGTAATGTTTGATAGATCACGACATAGTGAAAGAATGTTTAGTTAGGGTTGCCACTTATTCGGTTTAGCATGGTAATATCCATGATAGACTTGATACCGACGTCTTCCTGTTTATAAAAAACAAGACGTTATTTATTTTTGTTTTCGTCATCTACTAAAGAATTAAAATGGCACTGATTTTTGCCTTCGTGTCCACGTTTATTGAAAGTTGGCAACCTTATGGACGATTTATGTCGGCCTTTGAATTCGTAAACTGATGACCCGAGAATTGTTTATCTTAAAGTGAAGATTTATATTGTTTTTCTTTTTCTTTATAAACAATAGTAATACAATAATGTTAATGTAATAAGGTAAGAAATAAGTAAAAATTAATAATCGCTGCCCACACTCTCTGTGTTAAGCATGTAGTTATTTTTTTTAATTACCAAGTTCAGTATACTGAAAGTAATAAAAACACTGTAAAGAGCTGTACCTTTGACTTTTGTTTTAGTTTTTATACAGATAAAAATACAAAAATGACAAAAACAAGCATCGACCGTGACAGGACTCGAACCTGCAATCTTCGGATCCGAAGTCCGACGCCTTATCCATTAGGCCACACGGTCCGTGTCAAACATCATGAAATTTCAGGAATGCAATCAAATTTTCTAAGTTGCGCGCGCAACTACTCACTTTGTTTAATCATTTACATTTTTCTCTTAGATTTTAGCTTAGAATAAACCAGATGCCAGCTAACTTACTCAAAAAGTAAGGTCACAGACTATGGCTTTAATGTCATTCAAGTCTTGTTGTAAAATGTCTTTAACATTAAGACGATAAAAAGTTACTGACAAACTTTGCAAGACAAGAGAGGAGAAAAATAGGGTAAAGATACGCCTCAATCTATTCTTTCTCTTCCCCGTCAAATCAGCTTTTTTCTGTGACAATATTTAAAACCAATGTAGCGCAAATTCGAGGTCTTAATCTAGAATGGTACACACTTTCGTAGTGAAGCTCTACGACGTAGCTATAACTTTTAAAAATTAACAATTTGCTTAAACCCTACATTACATTTTCCACTGGGTTTCGGCAGTGGAAACGCTAGTAAATAACTAACTGTAAAATATGGTACGTTTTTTTTTACATTTAACAATAGAATATCAACTTTATAACTTAATTGTTTTGGATTTTTTTCAAATAATTCAAATTCAAAAAGGCGTTTCATTCGACCGTGACAGGACTCGAACCTGCAATCTTCGGATCCGAAGTCCGACGCCTTATCCATTAGGCCACACGGTCATATGCTTTGGTAATGAAATTACCTATGCCTTTTGGGTGTAGCTTTTTTCTTAGAGGCCAGTACTGACAGAGTTAAGAAAAAAAACAAAAGCATTCCATTTTTGAAATTAATCTATCAAAACAATCAAAGCAAGGACACAAGCTGATCTCCAATTTATGCTTTGGCGGGCCCTGGTTTTGCGTTAAGAAGTTGCTGTGCTAGGGGCTGCTTTTATTCAGATTTCCTAGCTTTGCCGTGATCTGAATATTTCAGTAAATTACATTCAGACATCACTACAAAGGAATTACGAATTAAATTAATAAATATAATAAATCATTCTCATTACTTGGATAAATTGGAAATCAAGAATAGCTGACATTTTAACTTTAAAGTACTAGTAGTAAAAATATATTCTTATAAGATTCTAAACGAAGAGTTTCTGAGAAGAAAAAAAAGTAAAGTTTTGTAGTGGACATTTCTTTAGTAAGAAGTTTGTCAGAGCACGGGGTGCAGGGTGCGGGACGCTGTTCAATAGACAGCCGACACATCGTCGCCAATGTACAGTCGGACACATAAATTGTTTCGAACAAAGTATTTGCTTTGGTACGTCGGCAACAAGTGTACTCTTCTGTCTTGTACTTAAAGTGCGGATCTTAATCTATACTCTATTTTATTATAATAAAGCGTAAACGCACACTTCTTTGTTGCCTAAGATGTCAGCAATTACGGTATATTTTTTAATAATTATTTTTTTGATAAAAAGCCCTACACTTACATCACGCTTTAGGCTATATATTTTCACGCCAATAAACTTAGGGGGAAATATTTTGGATAAAATTGCGTGAAAGAGACCATAAGTTGTTGCCAACATCAAGGAAACAAGATTGCCAAGGTTTGTCATGTCATGTCATTTTGACATTTGCTACTGATAATTTGACAAATGTAAACAATATAATAATAGTATTTTCATAATTTTATGCGGCCAAAGCCGCACGAGAATAGCTAGTATAAATTATTTCTCACTTTTTTACTCCTTATAAGGTAAATAGAGACAGCTTGCTGCTAGAGACTAAAGTGCTGTCAATTTAGTGTTTTCTAACATTAAAAAGTCAGTTAAGTATTTAATTATTATTAAATACTTAACTGACTTGTCTTCATAGTCTTGAGAGCCTTCTATCGTAGTGAAAGATCAAGATAATAAAATCGTTAGTCTCTGTGTTGTTTATTTTTTAATTTGTATCTGTTTAAGAATAATCTTGTGTAGACGACTGTACTTTCGTTTAGGGTTTCCCGAACGGAATCTCTGCGTTATATCGGCCGTTTTATTGCATTTTATTTTGGCTTGACTTTGTTCCGTCGTACGGTCGTCTCGCCTACACGTTATAATGCGCAAAAGTTCCACGTTCTGTGTAAACGTAACAGCCTTTAGAACTTTGTCGCCTTAAACTAGCCGGTGCCTCGATAGCTTTTATTACGTCATGCGAGCGATTTATGTTCCGCCATTTTGGATTGTTAAAATTTTAACAAGATCCTTACGAATATTTTGTTATAAAAGAAATATTTTATAACACTATGTTGCTATGAAATATTTCTTTTATCCTTATTAATTTATTTAAAGTACTTTTTGTATTGGTAATATACCTAGTAATCTCAAGGACATTTAAACCGTTGGGCCATTTGGGATTCCTAACCATGAAAGACTTATATTTTATTAATAAGTCATATAAGATACTTTGGATTGGTTAAAAAGTGAAATTAAACTGTTAACTGCTAAATAATTATGACCTATATCGTATGAAACGGTTTGAAAAAAAATATATTTTAATATAATTATTGCTAAAACTGATTAAACAAATGATTAATTAATATAAATTAGTATAGAACTTTTACGGCATACCCAAATTTTAGATGTAATAAAAATTTCATAAATTTTTACGATCCCTAATAAAAATAAAATATAATAACCTAATACTCTTATTATATTACAGCTGTCTACGTTAGGAGGGATTTCGCACTATTTAATGGACTATTTTTCAACTATTTACTCAGGCGTGGTACAATAATGGTTAGCTAAATTACTTATTAAGTACTTAGAATAACCTTTTTCTTGGGTTTCTACTACTTTCAACATTAATGAAATTATAATTATCTTAAAGAAACTCAAATAACCAGATTTCGTATGTCTATAAGTTTATGATATCCTCATCAGCTCATTAAATGTCCCCACTAAGGCGACTCGAAGTCTACAGCAAATTAGGGGTGACGGTGACTAGACCATAATCAACCACCTTGGACAAGTGCGGGTTGACTTCAACATCTTTGAATTTCTTCACCGATATGTGCAGGTTGCATCACGAAGTTTTCGTCGCCGTAAGAACGTCGGGGGAAATTCGAAAAGCACATTGGTACATGGTCGTTTTCGAACCCAAGGCCATTTTAAACATATGTTTTATTTTATCTGTAACTTTAAAACCCAAGTGAACGGTGAACGCATCCAAAAACAACATGATAAAAGTGATAAACGTCAAAATTGTTTTTAAGTGTGACGGTTGGCAGCACTGTAATTCAATTTCAAACGGTTTTCGATTGTGGCCTGTTCTATGGCGTTTGACAAATTTACGAAACTTTTAAAATAAATGTAAATTTCTCCACAAATATGTCAATTTTTACGGAGTTATTACCTAAAATCAATCAAATATCTCAAGATTTCACTAATACGTTCAATGAAAACCTTAAGGTAAAATCTTATGTCGTGTTTTCAGTAACCGCCATTTATTTTCTGTCCAAAAAAGTGTTATGGAGTGTTAGTTTTCTGTTTTAGTGCATCCTTTGTGTTCAATTACGCTAAGCAGTGTTAATATTCGGTATTTACAGGAGGCGCTTGAGTGTTTTGATAAGTTTGAAGTTGATTTTGAAAATGTCAAAAGACAAGCTAGAGAGAAGATTATAAAAGAGAAATCGGTTTTAACCAAACTCCAGAGCATTAACGAGGATGATGGTAAGTCGCGAACATTCCATTATGAGTTATTCCATTCTATTATTACAGCTTACAAAAACATAAGTAACTGTTAAAAATTTCTATGCAGTAGTGTTAGTTGTGGTATCTAATCAAATTTTCATGTTCTGTCAGCATCTGACTTTGTGGTATTTTCCACAACTTAAAAAGTTAAATCACAAAAAAGTTCATTGAATTTTCTAAAACTTCTTGTGTTTTATACTTACTTTTGATAGATATGCCTATAGTTTTGCCTACACACAGTTTTAGATGAACAGTTTGACTATTCTGATAGAACTGTGCATTTGTACAAGGGGTCAGACATCAAATTTAATGGAGTTCATCATGGGTTTATGTTACCATTTACAAAATTGTTATTTGAATATTGAGCCAATGTCTTAACTTTCACAGAAGTCCAACTTACAGTGATTTTTAAATGCAATTCTGTTTGATTTAGGTGAGAATTCAAATAGACCGATTGAGAAATTGGAAGAAAAAGTGCTTGCTAACCCTGAAGAGAGCCCAGAAGAGGGGGAGAAGGATGCTCCAACGCGAGGGCCAAAGAAACGCAGCAAACATGAAGTTGATGACATGTCAAGTCCTGAAGTTGATAAACGGCAGAAAAGAAATGCTTCTGTTGTCGCTAAGAACATCATTAGTAAACAGGTATTTTTTAACATTAATACATGACTAGCTTTTGCCTATGACTGCACATAATTAAAAACAACTTACTAAGTAGCCTGTGTTCTACATCCGTGACAAATTTCATTGAGATCCATAAAGCTGTTCTAAAGAATCATAGAAACAAACATCCATCTATCCATTACTTTTGCATTTATAACATTAGTAAAATTGACGGATAAAGTCAAAAATGTGTATATTAGAGGAAGTTTGAAAGTAGTGCCAGTGGTAGAGAAATTGAGAAGCAATATGTTAGCATGGTATGGACATGTTATGCGATGTGACGATGGGGACATAAACCAGAAATTGTTAAAAATGAATATGGACAGCTACAAAGGTAGAGGAAGACCGAAGAAAGTATGGATGGATTGTGTGAAAGATATGCTTAAGAAAGGAGTGGATTCAGATATGACGGCTGATAGAGATGTATGGAAGAGCACATACTGTGCTGACCCTCCATAAAGGATAAGGGCATTATATTTAAGTTTGTTGCATATGAATATTCAAATCTTACTTACTATTGACGTGTGGATGATCCCTATGGTTCTCGCGGAAGATCAAAGCTGGTACTTCAATAGGAGCATCCAGCATTTATAGCTGAGCGAGGACCCAATCCAGTCAGCATTGCAACGATACATTTAATTTTTTTTTTTTCATTTCATTAGTTACGTTTCTCATTATCTGTGTTTAATTACTTTCTTTTGATTCATATTTGTAGTCTTGACAAGGATTAAACATTATCTTATTTTTTAATATTTTCTCTTTATAATATTAGTAAAGTTTCCTCCGGTTTTGTGATGTTTATGGAAACAATTATTTACTGACAAGTTTACAATCCAATAACTTTCAATTTAATATTTCGTAGGCAAAAGAAAATATGAATGTACTAAAGGAGAATGAAATCTCTAATATAGTTGAAAAACTGGTAAATACTAACAATTACTTTGTAGATTTAATATTAAAATAGCAAATAAAACCTTAACCCATT